AGATCGCGGAACGACACTTTTTTGATTTTTGCGGTTTTTACACATACGAACCACTGGATTCCACACACTAAACAATTTAAACCCATCCTCACGATTGAGGATGGGTTTAAATTGTCTAGTGTGGTGGTGTGGTGGTCAATGTTAGTGACCATGAAAGTTTAAAACAATATATTTATCAAGTTAATACATGAAATATGAATACTAAAATTTCATTGGTATATTTTTATAAATTCATTAAATAATTTTTAGATCCAACAATGGGTTGCGTGTTCCCGAGTCGGCAAATCAGATAGTCTTTATATCTACGCAGACAGTGGAAAAACAAAAAATATTGTATATCCACAAGTATTGCAAAATGAAACTTATATGAAATGTATTCTTTGTTTTGTTTCTCATTTCTCAACCATTCAATCACAATGTGCCACTGCGAAGCGTGGCAGGGTACAGCTAGTATCTCTATAAATGATGCTCCAATCCCAATTAAAAATAGCGCGAAATTCCTGGGCTTCGAGTTGGACTCTAGGCTGTCTGGACAGGCACATACTGCTGCGATTTCAAAAAAATGTGAACAACGTGTCGCAATCCTAAAATCACTCGCAGGTGTCTGGTAGGGGGCTAGCCCATACACCCTCAAGATGGTTTACAATGCTTTAATTAGAAGTGTAATAGACTATATTGCTGCTTTGTACTTGAACCATGTAATAAGGACACCCTTACCAAACTGGAGGTCATTCAAGCTAAATACCTCAGGATTATAATTGGAGCCATGAAGTCCTCTTCTATTAACGCCCTCCAAGTGGAATGTGCAGAGCCTCCATTGTCCTTGAGAAGACAATACTTAGAGGATCGTTCTTTCCAAGGTGTTTACACTCTCATCTCACCCCTTATTGCCTATAATGGAACAACTTGTGGCCTCTATGAAGGGTAACCCCTATTGGCATAAGAAATCGGTTCCTCCCTTGATTAAAAGATACACGGAGCTAAAACGCTCCAGTTCACGCATTAGCCGTTACTCTAAGCTTCCTGTCTTTTCTTTCCCATACGAGTCTTTGTACTTTAGAACACCAAATATTATTTTAGATCTGGGTATAGCTAAATCCTCACTGTCTGCAAAATCGGAGTTCAGGTCAATAGTTGGTAGTCGATGGCAAGGCTGGAACCTTTTCTTCACTAACGCTTCTAAAATGTCGGAGACAAGCTGTACAGGAGTTGCAATTTACTTTCAGAACTCAAGAATATCCCTCCTGTTCCAGTGCCCCCCAGAAACGTCGGTGTTTACGGGCGAGTGCATAGGAATATTGAAAGCCGTGGAATACATTGAAAGTCGTAATATTAAAAACTCTGTTATCTTTTCGGACTCGTACAGTGGTGTCCAGGCATTAATACAGGACCCCCTTTACAGCAAAATAAAAAGTGATATAGTCATCCAAATTAGAAACAAATTATTAAACAGCGACATTGCAGGAAATGAATGTGCAGATTCCCTAGCAAAGTATGCCGTTTCTAATGAAGTTGACCGAAAACACTTCTTTGTAAGAAATTATGATCTTCTGAATTGTGCTAAGGCTAAGTTGAATTCATCTTGGTCTTCGGATTGGCGACAAAGCTCAAAACATAAGGGTATGGTATATGCATCTGTCCAACCGGATATACAATTAAAACCGTGGTTTTACAAAAGTAAGAACTTACCTAAACAAGTTATATCAGTTTTATCAAGATTACGCCTCGGTCACTGCTGTTCCCCGGTATTCTTACATAAGCTCCATATTCGAGACAATTCATTGTGCGAATGTGGGCTTGATGAGGGTACAATAGACCACATATTTTTCTCTTGCGCAAAAAATCGAAAATCTTTTAATCTCTACAGCGAGTTGGTAAAAATTAAGGTACCGCTTCCAATAAACATTCGATCACTTTTGGCAATTTTTTCTTCCCAAATAATTCTTATCTTGGCGAAATTTATTCATGATAACAATATTAAACTGTGAAGGTATACTGTAACTACAACTCTAAATTCCTCATGGCTCCTTTTAATATAATAATAATAACTCATTAAACGGTGTGGTTAAAGAAAAAAATAAAAAAAAGGAAGCGGCTCCTTTCTCCATATTCCCTTTTCCAAAACTAATATAAAGTGCACGTCTTTCCAGAAATCTACTGACAATTTGACTCTGATATCTCTCAGTACGGGACGCTGGCAGATGGGCCCCAGAAGGAGAAACATTACCCAAAAAAATGTTTACAAATTCTATAGCACTAGTGGTCAAAGTAATAAATCAAGTCAAAGTAAGTGGCAGTCAAGTCAAACCCCCTTTCCCTACGTTTCAGTAAAAGTGTGGGGATTTACTGGATCCTCCCCGTGGACTTCTTGAGGGAACGTCGAAAGACACTTTCCGCTATTTTGTTTCACTTGCCAACACTTGTGCATGTTCCCGAACACTTAGTGGTTACTAATCCACCATTATTAAACACTAACATCCGCCACTACACAATTTTTAACAAGAAAAACAAAACTGCTAAAGTGCCGCTACCCGATCCCGCTAAAAAGTCCTTTGTATTTTTTTGTTTGTGACTGAATGACACTTGTAATGCTGCCAAATAAAAAAAATATTATGACAAAAAAAAAATTAAGCATAAAGGATAGAATCATGGAATAACATGTGTAACGCGGTATTTATAGTCATAAATTTTACTTCTTTCTGTTTTAACTTGAATATTATAGTAATTAATAATAAATAAATATTTCCAACCACTCACACCAATTAGCCTAGCCCCAAAGTAAGCACTGTAAGGCTTGAGTTATGTGATACTAGGGGTAACGGATAGAATACATATACTGTACATATATAAGTATATTTAAACATCCATGACTGGAGTACAAATGCTCGTATTCATCACACAAACATCTGCCCCCACCGGGATTCGAACCCGGGACCTCTCGAGTCAAAAAAAAAAAAACAAAGCTGGCCACGCACCGACAGTGATTGTGCGAAGCCAAATGCCCCCCGGATGTGCAGTGCCCCGGAGTATCAGGGGCACAAACCATCACAGGAACCGTGCAATACAGACTGGCAGCGGGATGGGGAGCGCAGGATTACTCATTTGCTTGCATAACATAAGGTTCATAGCTTGTTGCTGGTAGTAGATAACGATATAGTATAAATCGTTTATTCCATTAGATCGCAATGGTTGGCGAGGTTGTACTGGGTAAACTACAAATGGGGAAGATGCAATATTTTTAATTTTGTTTTCATTTTAAAGAATTCCATATAGAATAAATCAGAGTTATATTAAAAAATTAAAACATAGTAATTTGTTTTAAAAAAAATGCGGTTTTAAATTAACAGTTTAAATTTTCGCGCGAAAACGGACCTATGGTTCCGATGACGTCACTCATGTCTGTACACTGGTAGTACTTGTTCGTCACTGGCTTTCACACTTTTGCATATTATTTCGACTTTCGAGATATATTTTTGTAAAAAATTTAAATGGACTATCCAGCAACATCAGGTGATGACAATACCACTAATATTCCGAAAAAAAGCCGGGTTGACTCATGTTTTGTGCCAATGTGTCCATCTATTTCAACAAAGGAGATTGCTCAAATTGGCCCAAATGTACAAAAAATATTGACATATACGGTAATTCTTGGCGTAATTTATACTTTATTTTACAGTCATTAGATTTTAACGGACACCTTTGTATAATATATTCATTTTAAAAAGGACATATTTTTACCGGTTTGGAAAACATATGAATCATTTTTAATGGCTATGGGTGTAGTAACATAGAGCCAAAGAGTGATCGAAGTTGTTTATATAACATCAAAACAAATCTATTATGTAAAGATCGATAAAATAAAACATTTTTTTATTACACTGTGGTATTAATATCCTTATAGGTATATTATCATTTTTATTACATGCTAATGTGCTAAGACAAATATTATAGATGGTAGGCGACATCATAAAGTCTATTGCCATACATTTGACGCCGAACACCTCCATTATAAGGTGTGAACTATACACTAAATATCTAAAATATGGTTATAATATAAAAATAACAAAAATAATAAGCTTTCTTTAGTTAACGAGAGTTTAAAAATTCTCTCTAATCTGTGGCTCATTCACAAATAACACACATTTTCTGTCACAGAGTACCTTATTATAACCGGAAATGCATAGATGATACCTGATTTTAAAAGTTACTCTTATGCATTAACTTTAAAAACAGGCAATTATCTATTTATCTACATGCTTTATATACCTGAATCTAATACATAATTTCGTTACTTATTTGTTTTTTATTATTTTAATACCTATGTACCTATTTTCAAACAACCTCAAAATCATTCAGTGTATATGGTTTATAGAAGTTCTCAGGGGTGTCCGTCAATAGTATTCGGCACAACTTGCATGACAGTTTTACTTGCAAATGTATCCGCTGTGTGCCAGTAACTTGCATGCCATCTACTTTCCCTATTTACTGGCATGTGTATCCCCAGCCTTATATTTGCATCTTCGCGTTTTTTTATTTTCTGCTACTACTCTGCTCCGGCAGGCATTAAGGCAGTATCCATTCCGTCACAAGATCGAAACAATTCGCCTGTTTTTAAAATCAAATTTAAAACAAGGTGGTGATGGAAGCGTAATTTTAGCTTGGAGCTTCGAAATAAAAGATGAAATGACGGCTTTTCAGGATATGCCTAGGAATTTCATGATCTGGCGAAATAAATATCGGCCGGGCGATGATACGAATACTTATGTCTGGATAAGGCATGTATGTGTAACCACGCAAAGAGTTGGCGAACATGAAAGTAACTTTTACCATGCCTTGCCCCACTTTTCTTACACGGGGCAATAAAAAGAGGAGTGATATTGGTGACTTCACGTGATTGATTGCTTAGAACAAACCTTATACAACACCTTTTCGTATTCACCTCAACTCCGCCACATTGACTTTGGTTAAGTCTATTATGTTAACGAAATGAAAACCATTACTATCTACACAACATTTATTTGCCATTTTTCATTACAACACACATCGGCTTATGAAGTTGACATAGACTTCGTGGGTATCGTCGAGTTAATTAATATGGAGCACAGCTCCTGATTATTGGCAATCAACATTCGTGAATGTTTACTAAACTATTCTTCAGTTTTGAGCACTAATGCAGCGGCGGCCTTCACTATATCTCCGCCGGCTATCTCTAATTCGTGGCAGCAGAGGGCAAAGCCCACGTCTCGTTCGACCGAAAGCCGAACACGGACCACTTTTATAGCCTGGTGCACATTCCAGTTGCTCAACTCCAGCGCTTTTAGACATTCCTCCGGCGTTACCTGCTGATGAAATAAATAAACCTTCATTAATAATGTATGGCAATAGCATTATGAAATATTTTAATTAAAAAAAACTGTCTTGGATGACTGCTGATTTGACTCTGATATTTCGTTCGTACTCGCTTATAATAATTTGAACATTGTATCAACAATATTAAAAAATAACAAAATTGTACTCAATCAAAACAAATCTATTATGTAAAGATCGATAAAATAAAACATTTTTTATTACACTGTGGTATTAATATCCTTATAGGTATATATACTAATAATTACCGTCCGATATCGTTATGTACAATAGTTGGCAAGATATTTGAGAGAATCTTGCAGCCCGAATTGGTGAACAATATTAAACTAAATGACGCACAGTTTGGTTTTCGTAGGGATGTCTCAACTGATTCTGCCATATTAGCGCTCAAGCACACTGTCAGTTATTATAACAAGAGAGAAACTACAGTCTATGCGTGTTTTCTAGATCTCAGCCGCGCTTTCGATCTTGTTAATTATAAATTACTCTGGCATAAACTGACAGAGACCACGGTGTCACCCACGGTTGTGAACCTGTTGAGACACTGGTACGAAAACCAAACTAACATTGTAAGATGGGGCGACGCGACATCTAATAAGTTTAGATTAGACTGCGGTGTTCGTCAAGGAGGACTGACGTCACCGGACCTTTTTAACCTGTATGTCAATGGATTGATCGAGAGACTCAGAGGAGCCAGGGTTGGCTGCCATGTTGGTAACGTATGTGTTAACAACCTGAGCTACGCCGACGATATGGTTCTTCTGAGTCCCTCGATTAATGGACTTCGAAAGCTTCTTTCAATATGTGAGTCCTATGCTGGGGAACATGGATTGAAATATAATGTGGCTAAAACTGAAGTCGTTATTTTTCGGAACGGAAAAGGTCCGGTAAACGTTCCACCGGTGTGGCTGTATGGTTCGCCAATTCGGGTTGTAACGAGGTTCAGATATCTGGGTCATATATTGAATGGACAGCTCAACGATGAGGACGACATGGAGAGGGAGAGAAGGGCTCTTGCGGTGAGGTGCTATATGCTCGCAAGGCGGTTCGGCGGATGTTCGAGAGACGTCAAGATAATGTTGTTTAAGGCGTAGTGCCAAACGTTTTGTACATGTCAACTTTGGCTGAGATGTACAAAACGTTTGTTTAATGTGCTGCGAGTCCAATATATGACGCCTTTCGCATCCTGCTCAAAAAACCGCGATATTGTAGTGCCAAGGAAATGTTTGCTGAAGCAAATGTTCCCGATTTTTTCTGTATCCTCAGATCGCGGTCAGCTTATTTCTGGGAGAGACTCCGAGAAAGTGGGAACTCCATTCTCCGCAACATCCACGATGACGTGGACAATGTATTTTTTAAACATTGGAATAAATTACATAGTTTTGGAAATGACAGTCTGAAATAAACATTCAGCAAATCCTATGTTAGTTTTTAAGTAATTTTATAATATACACAGTTTTATTTTTAATTTTTATTATCAATTTCGTCAATTTTGTCATATGGGTCTTTTGCCTGAAATAAAGAAATTATTATTATTATTATATTATCATTTTTACTACATGCTAATGTGCTGAGACAAATATTATAGATGGTAGGCGACATCATAAAGTCTATTGCCATACATTTTACGCCGAACACCTCCATTATAAGGTGTGAACTATACACTAAAAATCTAAAATATGGTTATAATATAAACATAACAAAAATAATAAGCTTTCTTTAGTTAACGAGAGTTTAAAAATTCTCTCTAATCTGTGGCTCATTCACAAATAACACACATTTTCTGTCACAGAGTACCTTATTATAACCGGAAATGCATAGATGATACCTGATTTTAAATTGTACTCAATAAAGTTTCGAGTAACCAGATGAGTTAAAGAAGTTGATGATCATCGGTAAAAAATATGACCCATATCGTCACTATTTATAAAGTTTTCGCCAGTTATTCTAGATCAAATTTCATACCTAAACCCACAGAACAGGTTGCCTCTAAAGTACAAAAGCAAACTTTCTCAATGAAAATGAAGTTTCTGATTAATTTTCGATGTGAATTATCAGACAATGCTCATTTAAATAACAGTTTTTATTTTTGTTAATGTGTATTCTATTAAAAAAAAATTTTTTATTTTAAAAAAAAGAATACACTTCTTAGAGGCCAATTTGGCTTTGGAATGTGTTTCTCGTATATATTTTTTGACGTTTCGGTGGAACAAACAGCGGTAGTGTACGTGAGGAGCGCATGGAAAGTCGAATTCGACATGGAAATCGTATATTTTCAAGGAGTGCGGACGAATCTATAAGCGTGTTCAGTATTTTATAAAGAAAAGTAATGTCACAGATTTTTCGGCGATTACGCAGTGTGGTCATCTTATAGACTTCTAAGGATTTTTCGTATGTATCATTTACATAATTATTACGATAATTTAGAGATCTTAAGAACTTTTTTGAACTCTTTCAAGTCTGTTGATGTGGACATTATAACAGGGGTTCCAAACAGTGCTACCAAACTCAAAAACAGAGTGAACAAAGGCAAAATACAGGGCTATGAGTGTTTTTGTATTTCTAAATGGTTTACTTACTCTAAGAATGAAGCCCAATCTCTTATATGCAGCGGCCACAATGCAATCAATGTGATAATTAAAGGATAACTTTGAGTCCATCATTATTCCTAAATCTCTTATACGGTCCATCCAATTATGTTTCGAAATATAATCACTACACATCGCGGTTGTGAGTATAGGCAGTGTCTCCACTGCTGCAGTGGAAAGTGTATGTAACACTGTAATTCTTGCATTTGTTTTATTTTATAAAGTAATTTTTATAGATATAAGTGACACCACGGTGCATAAGGCTATTTTGCTCACCTGTTTGAGTACTTTGCTCATGATGCGTACTTCATCTGACTCGACGCCGCGCTGTCGACCGCACGGCTTCTGGTCTGCAAACTCAAGCAAATCCTCCACAGACACGTGATCGGTGCAATCTAAACAAAAAAATGGGTGCGTGTACTTATGTAGGCGCGTGAGAAGTTATCCTTCTTTGGGATCGTTTAAAATTAGTTTTTAATTGCATGCAAATAATTAATTACAATAAATTAATAAAAAGTCTGGAAAAGGACACAGACAATAAAGTTCAGTTTTAATTTGAAAAAATAAATAAATAATCAAAATATTCAATTGAAATCGCTACTGAATATAATTTATTAGAACATATGTGATTTGCACTTGTATGAAACTCAAACACGTATTCCGAATATACAAACTAGAAACATGTGGATAAAAATTATAAATATGAATACCTATAACTGTTACTTTATTACAAAAAATAAAGATGTGGTTTTTGGTTCTGCTACACCAATGGTCAAGAGATGACGCTGTAGTCTCCTGAATCGCGCTTTGGTTCCGTTGTTCCAGATTAATAAATACTTTTGATATTATAAATATGAATACCTATAACTGATACTTTATTACAAAAAATAAAGATGTGGTTTATGGTTCTACTACACCAATGGTCAAGAGATGGCGCTGTAGTCTCCTGAATCGCGCTTTGGTTCCGTTGTTCCAGATTAATAAATACTTTTAATAGGTCTTGCAGTTCACAATGCAGTCGTTAGCACCCACTAAATAGAGATTCTATTTCTATTTTGTTGGTAGATTTTCTTAATGTGCGGTAAACACAAAAGTAACGCTTTAGCGACCAACTTCATGCTGTTAAAATTTTGTGTTACAGTGATGCGCGCGCATCTTAAAATTTCACTCTCATCATTTTTTCATAACGCGCCTAAAGAAGTATAACTTCAAAAAAATATAATGTTACAAATAAGTAAATATTGGAAAATATCCCAAACATTCTTTCTAAAACAGAAGTATTTTAAGCGTCCAGACCAATTTCCACAGCGGATCATGTAGGTATTTGTCATTACGAGCGTCGCAACTCAACAATCGCTCTTACGCCCGCGGCAATATATTTCACATCGAAATAAATTTTAATGCTATATTTCTAGGGCGAAAAGTATCTATACTGCAATGCAAACTTAAAACGTAAGTGATGGCGCAATAAATGTAGGATGAAGTTGGTACGCGCGGGATGTCACTAAACTGAAATCTGCGCGTAGTTACGCTCGCTGCTAACTTCACAACCACCATATCACACTTTGCTGGGCTTACCACGCACTAATGTTTCTTCTTCCGTTTCTGGGTTTTCATCGGCTGTTTCAGGACGCTTGTCATCTTTCAAGTAACAACTGAACGGATTCACCGAACCGCCTCCCGCCAGATTTGTGAAGGGGTTAGTATCCACTTTAGAAGGACCGGCGCCGTCGAAAACGTCTACGCCATTCTTGTCAGCGTCAAATCTCGTGTCTTTTTGAGACTCTTTAACTTTGGGGCACGTGACTGCGTTCTGGTATATGATAGGTTGGGGGTTTGGCGGCCTGGTCGCTTGCTGTTGAACGTTGTTCGGCAACTTGAGTGGATATTTCCTTATGTGTCGCGGTTTGTCGATCAGTTTCGGCTTGCTGGCCCTAGGCGGCAACGGAAGTTCGTTCTTGAGCTGATGCGAAACAGAAAGACATAATTATGAATGATCCATTGATCGATCGATTTACATATATATATATATATATATGTGTGTGTGTAAATCGTTTTTGATATATATGTATGCCATATACACAAGGTCGGTTCGCCACACCGACAATAAAAAAAAAAATCTCCCCACCGCCACGATTTTGATGCTACTTAGATAATGGTTATACCTAAATCCCACAACTCAATCGACACCACTACAACAGAATTAAAACACTACATTTGGAACTATTACCACATAGATGTTTTAGGCCAGTCATTAAAGCCTTAAACCCGGAAATAATCAGTAACTTGCTGAATTTTTGAGGGTTTTCGAAAGAAGGTAAAATAACTTACCGGGTGATTTTGCAGCGTTCTGGGATATACGGCAAGGGTTGAAAAGGGGTGAAAAGTGTTTTTGTTAATAAAATTGGCAAAAAAATTGGTAACACGCTGCAATTTAGAATAATGCTGCTTTTACTGTTTTGTAACATGTATTAAATTTGCAGCGTTTTGGAACATTGTTTATTATTAAAAAAAAAACAATGAAATTTGTTAATAACAAGGGTAAAAAACTAGTAACACGCTGCAAATTTGGAATTAGGTTGTTCTTATCAATTTGTAACATCTATTAAATTTGCAGCGTTTTGCAACATACGGAACATTGTTTATAATGTTCCGTATGTTGCAAAACGCTGCAAATTTACTAATTATTTCCGGGTTTAAGGCTTTAATGACTGGCCTATTTCTTTTTGTTGAAAAAGGCGATCACTAATGATTTGTCCTCTATATAATACATAAATATAAAGGAATTAGTAATATCATGAACTAATAATATAAGGACTAGCAGTCTCCATACAAAATGGCGTTCTGAAAGCCGTAATTATTATCACGAGGTATATTTCCCGCCAGGTAGCGAGAGCGTGTTTCTACTCACTCAATAGAAGGCACAACTTTACATGTTGTTGTTGTTGTTGTTGTTACATGTGTTTCAACTTAGATTAAAAAAAAAATAATCTAAGTATTTCAGTAGACTATAATATTTACATATATTTGTAATTTTGAATTTATGACATCATCATCAGTCTATTCATGTCTCCACTGCTGGGGCAAGGGCCTTCCCTATGGATGGAATAGGGAGTTTGGGCCATGACCCACCACGCGGGCCCAGTGCGGATTGGCATGTGCTAACGACTGCAGATGCAGCCGGGACCAACGGCTTAACGTGCCTTCCGAAGCACGGAGGAACTCGAGATAGAAGATTTTTGGTCACCCATCCAATGACCGACCACTGCAAAAGTTGCTTTACTTCAACGATCGCAGCCGAACGCGCTAACCACCCGCGCCATCGAGCTCCTCTAAATTTATGTATTCAATTTATTTCAATTAAATAATAATAAATATTTTTGAATTGATATAACATGTAACCTATATTAAAAAAGGGAAACAAAAATATTTTCTTTCAAATTGTCTTCATAATTAATAATGTTAGTAGGTTCTATGACTGTCGAAACATCCATTAAACATGAAAATGTAATTCAAAGGAGTCGATTTACAGATTTTAATATTTTAAGAAACCAGGATTCGAAACCGTGATCTTTGCAGAGGAGCGTTAAAAAAAACGAAACAGTTTTTAAGAAAATAGAAACAATCCCTGTTAGCGCGAAGACCTTAGAAAATCCCGAATACTGTCCCTAGAGGAGGCATTAGCTTGGACCTATGCTTGTACTATTATATAATCTGTGCCAAAGCAGATAAAGTTTAAAATTACTTATACGTGGCTTTGCAGGCGGTCTTACATTGGACTAACACCACTCGCTTTTTAAGCGCCATCTAACTTTGTTTAGAGTACTGCTATGTAAGTCAAAACCAGCTGATGAAATTTTAAAACAAATAGTCACATGTTCGTCATTTGAATACCATTGGCGACACCTATAGTTCATTCGCGTTAAGAAAATAGTGACTCATCACCGACTGCCGGCCAAGCCACGCCCCCTAGCCAATTAAAACGCTAGAAATTAGTAAGGCGAGTTCACAGTGCTCAGTTGAAGTCAGACCTTCGAACTGATCGGTTGTGTATTTTGCGTACTACTTGTTTAAAATTAAATTTGGAAAATGGATATCTCACCTATTAAAAAAAATAAAAGTGGATCAATTATACATAGCGGAGAGAGACGCGTAATTTACAATGTTTATAAATATTTCAAACAGATTGATTTAAATGAGACTGTGGAGAGCATAGTAATTAAAACTGCAAGTGCATGCGGTGTGTCCGAAAACACTGTTTATAAAATTATAAAAGAACAAAAAGAAACGAATACATTGAAATCACCTGTGAAAAAAAGAGCTCGACTATCCACGGTCGATAAATTAGATGAACTAGACAAATGTGCAATAAGGAGAAAAGTACACTCTATATATTTAAATAACGAGTATCCAACATTGGACAAAATAATAACACTTTGCGAAGCTGATGAAGATATTCCTGTTTTCAAACGTACAACACTTCACAAAATACTGCACGAGCTTGGTTTTGACTTCAATAAACAAGATAGTAGAAAATTGTTAGTGGAAAGAGAAGATATTGTTTTATGGAGGCGAAAATATTTAAGACAAATAAAAGAATATAGAAACGCTAATAAAACCATTTACTATCTCGACGAAACGTGGGTAAACGCCGGACACGTAAAAACAAAAGTGTGGTTGGATACAACAATCAAGAATAAAAGACAAGCTTTCCAAGATGGCTTATCAACCGGCCCAAAAGCTCCGACAGGGAAAGGGAAAAGGTTAATTATATTGCACATTGGCAGCGAAAAAGGATTCCTGGAAGATGGTTTACTAGTCTTTGAATCTAAATCTACAAAAGATTATCATGAAGAAATGGATGGTGAAAGATTCCTTAATTGGTTCAATGGTATAATACCGAAGCTTGAACCAGGAAGTGTGGTTGTCATGGATAACGCTCCCTACCATTCGGTAAAAGTTGAAAAAATACCCACGGCCAGTTGGAATAAGCAGCAAATACTAGAGTGGTTGCAAAACAAAGACATATCTATGGATATGAGTTATTTGAAAAAAGAATTATTATTGAAAGTCGCCGAAATCGCCCCACAATATAATAAATATTTAGTAGATGAGACTGCTAAAAACAATGGCATTACAATTCTTCGTCTGCCGCCTTACCATTGTAAATTAAATCCGATTGAAATGGTGTGGGCCCAAATAAAAAATTATATTGCTGCGAATAATACTACATTCAAAATGAGTGACGTAAAAAAAAAATTTTATGACGCAATCGCGTTAGTAGACGCCAATCGGTGGAAGAAATGCTGCGACCACGTGATACGCGAAGAAAATACCATGTGGGGTTTGGATGACGTCATGGAACATGCAGAACAAAATTCATTCGTAATAAATGTAACGGGAGAATCTAGCGATACTGATTAGCGATTTAAGTACTTAGTTTTAAGACAATTTTGTATTTTTTTATTTTAGTACTTATTACGATTAATCCAAATATGTGTTACTCTACTAATATAGCGTTTAAGTTGACATTAAAAATTACCTTAATAGGAATATTTTAACATGTTTAAAATCATTGATACTTTATTATTTTTCTATTAAACTTATTTAATGTTTTGAAAAAAAATGTTTAATTTTTTCTCCATTATGAATACACCCTTACCCTGCAGTTGCACTGATGAGTCACTATTTTCTTAACGCGAATGAACTATAGTGAGCTGTAAATTAACTAATTTTGATATACGCAATTTTGTATGGAAACTGCTAGTATATTATTGGTACATGGTAATATCAAAGTAAGTTTTCTGTACATCGAGATGCTGTTAAGACCACATTATTTTTCTTTATAACGACGACCAAAAATCCAATGCTTACCTCGTATGGCAACGTTTGAAATCCATCTACCTCACTTGTAGGTTTCCTGAAAGAAAAGAAAGAGAATGTAAGTAGAGGAGAATATCATATCCATTTATATATAGTTACTAGCTGACCCAGCGAACTTCGTACCGCCATAAAAATAGGGGCAGGTGTTAGAAGAGAAAGTTTAGGGTTGTATGTATTTTTTAATAACACATTATAAAAAAATAAATATTGTCCACAAAAAATTTTAGGGGTGTGTAACGTAGTGTTCTATCAATTTCCTGGGATAACATTCCTCAAACCCAATAGTTTGAATTTTGGCGCGAAGGCGCATTGTAGGTTTCAGAACACTACGTTTCAGGTGGACAACCATTATCACTTAAGGATATGAAAAATAGATAGTAGCCGATTCTCAGACCCACGGAATATGCATATAAAATTTCATAAAAATCGATCAGGCCGTTTCGGAGGAGTACCTATGGTAACTAACACTGTGACATGGCCGAAAACTGTATATTGAAGAAGACAGGAGACCGGCTTCCTTCTCACAGTAATGGCCGTTGTTGGCGGGAGATCACAACACGTGTTTATTTATATAAGATCACTTAATTAACTAATATTTAAAACTGTCTTTATCAGTTATTAATAAAATGTGAAAAAATAATTATTGCACTGGAAATTAATAATAAATTCACGATGAGAATAAAATTAACGTAATAGATGCACAGAAAAATTAAAATAATACGTATAAGTCACTGCTACGATCGATACACAAATGAAATCAAAAAAAATGGCCGAAAACTGTATATTGAGGAAGACAGGAGACCGACTTCCTTCTCATCCCTACTCCGTGATGTTTGCTGGATGAGAGGTGACCCAAGTTGACATCTAGCGGGGATAACTGATCGATTGATCGGTTATCGACCGGTGAAGATCAAATTAAATTGAGAAAAAAAAAGAAATTATTAAAAATAAAAATCGCGATGGTAAAATAGGGGTTGATTGTAAAGGGTTGAAAATTCAGGGTTATATATATTTACTAATGCTGTATCATAAAAAAATTAAAAAAAATATATCTAAAATTGAAAAAAAAAATAGGGGTGGATTACCCTTAACATTTAGGGGGATGAAAAATAGATGTTGTCCGATTCTCAGACCTACCAAATATGCACACAAAATTTCATGAGAATCGGGAAAGCCGTTTCGGAAAAGTTTAACCACAAACACCGCGACACGAGAATTTTATATATTAGATAGATACAGCACCTTATGCAGTAATTATAACTTTTGAAAAATGTGATTACGTTCTGCAGTGACCGTCACATGCAGGTTGTCACACATTAATAATAAGTTAGTCTTAGAAGAATGTTTCAAGATTTTCTTTATCCACACCAAAATAAATAAGGCGCAGAAAATTACCCCTCCGCACACGAGAGTCCTGTAACCCAGAGTTCGTCTACGTGTCGGCTGATTTTCTCCCTTTATTGGGCGTTGTCATTTTTATAAGAGTGTCACTCAATCTTCCTCTATATCTGTGACATTATTAAATCGTATAACTTTCTGCTGGTAAGTGAGCGATACAGCAAAAAGTCGCGCCCTTTGGGAGATCTATGGGCAGCATGAGAGTAAACGTAAACAGCAATGGAAACGACCTGTATACATGCTCCCATTACTGTACCATTTATTGCCAACTTCATGTGCCATGTTCCTGCTAGGTGCTAAGCGGATAGACTAAATGTAAGCAGAGGTATATGAATAGTAAATAAAACTCATAGTTAACATCCTACAAGCGTATACATTAAAAGTGGAACTTGAGAATGATGATGAGGGCAGACGTAGGGTCAGCCGTTCTAAGTACATTAATCGCACCTCACAGTATATGATTACCTGCTCGAGTACATCTTCTGTAGAGAGTGGAACTGCTTGGCAGGGTTGACGCGAGGCGCCGGCTTCGGTATGGTGCCCGGTTTGTGTATGCCCGTGACGTCATTAGGGATCTGCGTGATGATGAGGGTGGAAGTGGGGGTCGGCTGCTCAATGAGGCTAGAGTACGCGAGCTTGCATTCCTCCGTTATTGTAGCCTGTAGTAAGCAATTTATGAGGTCAGATTTATTTTAATTAGAAACTACACTAGAAAAAGAAAATGAAAGTCAAATGTTTCTATCATGGACAACCTTAGGGTTAGCACTTCGTCTTCTTTATTTTTGACGACCTACGTGGCATAGTGTTATATACACCGGGTTTCAAGGTATCGCTTACTCATGAGGCCCGGGTTCGAATCCCGGTGAGGGCAAATGTTAGTATGATGAATATATTTCTGGATAAAATATACTTAGGTACCGAGTAACTGCGGGTTACTTTGATCTAAAATATGCACTATTTTTTCAAATCAATTTATATCTTTCTATTGTGAACTTTAAGGTATAAGTTAAAAAGTACTGACACGAAAATAGGAAAAAATAATGTTTAAGGGTTAATTTTTATTTTTTTCAATTTTGGGCCAAAGTTGGCCTTATAAGAGGGTTACTTTAGCTCGTTGAGTTTTTTCTGTGAAAAAAACTCATTTTAAGCCATGTTGGGGTAATAAACCCTAATAACAGGTCACCATTAGCATACTTAATACACAAACAAATGTTTTTGCCCAAAAATAATTTTGTTATTTAAAAAATAAACGAATTTATATTTAAAGAAAAGTTTACTAGAAAAAATAATAAAAATAATAAATATATTAAAAATAATCTTGAAATATTACCTGAATATCTGGAACCCGGTGGGCTTCTTCGCTGAAGTTACGGCGTTCTCTACCTGTAATGTATATATAAATAAACATTTGTAATATTTATAATTTTTATTTTTAAGCATGTAACTGTTTGATGTTTAAATCTAAAGAAAATATAACTAGAAAAAAAACCACTAATTACCATCAGGGCCGTGGTAGCATAATTGGTCAGTGCATTCGCCCGGATTATGAAGGGTGCGGGTTCGAGTCCTGTCTGCTGCCTGGTCCGCGTGGATTTTTTTCTAGTTATATTTTCATTTTTAATATTTATTAAAATATAAGCAGAACAGCAGAAATAACATTTATATCATAGAATGAGTTGATTCACAAATTATGAATTAAAAATGAGCGAATGAGAGTGCGGTAAAATACTTTACCATCAAGAAAGTAAGATTAACATACTAAACATATTATATATATATAAAAGAAATTGGAATCGCACAACACAAAGCTACTTTAAATTGAAGTAACAACATTCATATAATATTTAGCTTGCCTAATATTGGATGTGCGCATCATAGAATAACATAAAAGAGAACCCAAACAAATGACTACTGAACATGAATTAAAAAAGGAGGAAATATAAATTCATAGAGAATGTATAATAAATCCCAACAATTTTATTAGATTTAATAAAATTACTAAAGATTGCACAGTTATCGTTTTGCTTTGACAATAATTTTCTTAGCATTATTAAATTTTCGCTTTTACTATTGCATTATGAAACAAACCAGACTTTCGATACAGTAAATATGCAAAACATTAATTGCGAACAAAATAAAACGGTATTTGAGATCGAAAACGTTAACAAGTTAATAATCTATTTATTAAAAAACTTCCTAGACTAATAAATATACGTAAACAGCATCTTTCAGCTATGAATCAATTATTAATTGCACATTCGTATCATTTTTATAATATTGTAAGAAATGATAAAAAAATACTTTTTCTTTTGCTATTGGATATCATGTTTTTATTCTGTAGAACTACTTTCCAGTTTTTTATTTGAGATTAGTTTGGTAAGTAACATTGGTTTGGAAAGGTATATAACTTGTTTCAAATAATAATATATTCATGACAACGTTGTGGCACTACTTTGTTTATTTTATCTCAATTTTATTTTTCTTTCATTTCGTTTGAACTATTTATCACTGGTACTGTAAACGTAAACTTTTTCTGCAAGACTATATATGGCAAAAATTTGTTTATTATTTTTTAATATGTGATATATTTGTTAACATTTTTGATCTTCAGTCTCATTCCATTCAATTATGGACAGCCAGTTAGTGGGTGGTGATTCCATATTAACATAAATTATATTAAATTTCTTACTGTGTAGCCTTATCCATTCTTGTAAGGGCCTCCTATTGCAATGATCTATCTATGCAGATTTTTCATAACTCTCATTAACTTATTTATAATGATTTAGTAAAATAAATCCGCGAATGGGAAACTGCGAGCAGCTGCTGTGATATAAGTACCTATAATAATTGAGGTTCGGTATCATACAGGCTAATGCAAATAGGAATATCCCTTTGAAGTTTTAACGACGGTCATAAAGTATGACACTGTTTCAGTCGGGAATTATATGTTTTATTTACTCCTGATGCAGTATAATTTCTTAGATCATGCCATTTTAGTAAGTGTAGATTAAAATAATAATCATGATTAACGGTTTTAAGTCATCCTAACAATGGAGAAGTTTGAGATACTTGAATTATTAGTCTTAAAAAACTATAGGTACTATTTTAATCTACTCTTACTAAAATGGCATCATCTAAGAAATTATACCATTGAAACTGTCAAACAATATATTGTTTTAAACTTTCATGGTCACTAACATTATAGTAATATAAGTTATTTACGGGATTGCTACCACACTGACCGCTATCTCAACGCCTCCTCGCATCACCACCCTAAACATCTTAACTCAGTAGTGACTTCACTGACGAACCGTGCAAATGACCTGTGTGATGAGGAACATCTTCAAGAAGATTTGGGGCATGTACGACGAGTCTTACAGAGTAATGGATACCAGGGACATTTTCCATCTAGACAAACTAAGACACCAGAGACACAGAGTAGACAGACAACCTGTTTATTTGCCAACCGTCAAAGGAGTGACTGACAAGATCTCAAACATACTAAATAAGTACTCACTAAACACTATCTTCACTCCTGTACGAAAGGCTTCACAATACCTACGTACCTACGGTCTCCTAAAGACAACTTGCCCTTGGAGAAACCTGGTGTCTATAAGATCGATTGCAGCTGTGGCAGTTCGTACATTGGCCAAACAAAGCGAACAGTATCATGCCGAATGAGGGAACACATAAAAGCAATCAAAAACAACGACACGCAGAAATCAGCCATCGCGGAACATTTGATTGATTCTGGTCTTAACCACTGGATTGAGTTTCATAACCCACAGATTATCTCGACAGAACGCCACTACATACCAAGATTGGTCAGGGAAGCGATTGAAATAACAAAACATAAAAATTTCAATCGTGAGGACGGGTTTAAATTGTCGTGTGTCTGGAATCCTGTGGTTCGTATGTGTAAAACCGGAAATAATCAAAAAAGTGTCGTGTCGCGACCCGATACTGTAAGTGTTGTGTGTCGAGAACAGTTTCGAGTGAATAGTGGTACGGGTATCGAACGCAATAAAAGACTTCGTCGGAGGGTAGACCGATATGTCTGCCAATAACAGCCTAACCGCAATTACTTTAGTTACTCCGTGATCATGGCACTTGCAACAGTGCCGAAATATCGGAAACTCGCTAAAAACAAGATACATACATGTTAGCAATCCCGTAAATAACTTATATTACTAATAATCTTCTCGCCATACTGAGAAGATTATTATATAAATGTAATTATTGCAGTCGAATTTTAGATATCGTTTTATCACGTGACACCTAGCTGTATTGAATTACGGGACTGACTATAAAGTGAAGTGCAAATGTTTAGCCCCCGCGATTGTACATCACACGCATTAATTGTGCATATTAGCATTAAATATAGTTGTGTTTTTATGAATTTTAAAATAATTTGATGTGAAAAAATTAATGACATTGTAAGTTAAAAGTTCTTCGTTTAAGAAGTAAAATAAAAAGTTGTTTTTACATTCATTAGGCTCCACATCTCCTTACAATCAAAATCGAAATGCGGCTAAACGAGTGGCACTATATTGAAGAAAATAAGCTGGATTGCAATACCAGCTTATCGTTGACCCACCTTAATACCAAACGGTTCCGTTTCTCAATACACCTGGCAGAAATTGAATACTGCGAAATCTAAAATTCGTCTGTAACACGTACACGTGTATGATCCACAAAATATATTTCAGGGTTAAACTGTTAGCAGAAGTTTGATTATGATTGATACGTACCTGCTACCTCTTTCTCTGGTTCTAAGGGCAGAGCGTTGTGGGATGAGATCGACGGGAACTTAAAATGGAATTTGGAGCGATCATTTGGCGAATTGGGACCTTTGTTTTCACTTTCCAAGTCCATTGATCTGTATAAAATATTTAAATATTTATGATTTTATTTATTTTTTAAGCATTTAACTGCTAGATGTTTAAATCTAAAGAAAAGTTTACTAGAAAAAAATCCACGCGGACCAGGCAGCGGACGGGACTCGAACCCGCATCCTTCGCAATCCGGGCGAATGCTGACTATTATGCTACCACGGCCCTCTTAGCCGCGTCGAAATTTTCCTAGCCTTAGGCTGCAAGGCAGCGCCATCTCTTCTCATTGTAGGCAACCCACAATGTCAAATGAATACTTTTTCAAGTATTAAACATTTGAAAGAAGAAATAGCAATTACAGTTATTTATAGAAAAAAGTTTTTTCTAGTAAACTTTTCTTTAGATTTAAACATCTAGCAGTTAAATGCTTAAAAAATAAATAAAATCATAACTATAATTGCTATTTCTTCTTTCAAATGTTTAATACTTGAAAAAGTATTCATTTGACATTGTGGGTTGCCTACAATGAGAAGAGATGGCGCTGCCTTGCAGCCTAAGGCTAGGAAAATTTCGACGCGGCTAAGAGGGTCGTGGTAGCATAATGGTCAGTGCATTCGCCCGGATTGCGAAGGATGCGGGAACGAGTCCCGTCCGCTGCCTGGTCCGCGTGGATTTTTTTCTATTTAAATATTATCAAATAGTTACAGTTCTTTGACAGTGTCTTAGTTGAATAGGATTTTTTGGGGGTTCCGTACCTAAAGGGCAAAAACGTATGTACGTAGAGAGCGTATTATTAAAACTCCACTGTCCGTTTGTCTGTCTATCTGTTACCAGGCGTATGTACGTACGTAGGGAGTGTATTATTAAAACTCCACTGTCCGTCTGTCTGTCTATCTGTTGAGAGAGACATTTGAAATTTTTACAGTGATGTTTTTCTGTTTCTTTTACAACAACAAATACTTAAAAACAGAATTAAATAAATATTTAACTTCCATAGAACAAACGTGATTATTTTGCCGTTTATTGCTTTATATTATAATAAAGGCTCTAACGTTGTATAGATAATAGTACGGAACCCTTCGTACGCGAGTCCATCTCGCCGGTTTTTATGACGTCTCATCGACAAGAAAATCCGCTATGCCTCGCTCTCTGCCTTGCTCTTAGCACTCTGTGTTTGCCATATCTTATTCTAAAGAAAATTTAACTAGAAAAAAACGTAAAGTCCAAGTGTAGAAATCAAGCAGTACAATGCTCATAATAAAAACATAATAAAACACAGAACTGGCCCCCACTAGCACCAACGTTCTTAAAATAAATTATTTTTATTAAACAATGACTTTTGATCAATTGCCAAAGATGGAATGGTGTGCTGTACAGGATTAAAGGTCTTAGGCCACTTTCACGACTCTGCTACAACACCGCTACCACCCTACACCACCCTAAACTAAGGCGACTGCTCGCTGTCCATGCGGCGACAGTTATCTCTATCTATTATATAAATAACTAGCTGACCCAGCGAACTTCGTACCGCCCTAAAAAAATAGGGGTTCTCCAGCGGACAAAATTGTGAATCTAAACCATTCTCAGATCCCCTTGAACACACACAAAAAATTTCATCAAAATCGGTCCAGTCGTTTAAGAGAAGTTCAGTGACATACACACTCACAGTTAGAAGAATTATATATATAAAGATAGATCGATATCAAATAATCTTCAATACCGACCTTGTAGTCAATTCATTTGCCATGGCGCACGCAATTTCTAATGTTTTCTCATCGTGCGCCGACATGGGTTTCATTGTACCAGTGCTAGTTTGTAGAGATTTCTTTCTCTCACTTTTGCTTAGTGTATGTGACCTGTAAAACGTAGAACATTGACATCAACATTGGTATCTATCTATCTATAACTTCATTTTAAAGCTGTTTTCTCTGTTTTATCTATTTACTAGTGGCCCGCCCTCGCTTTGCTTCGGTGTAGATCTGTAGTGTACACTATAGTTTTTGTACAAAGGCTTGTATTATACACACTGACCTCCTTCATAATAATTATAAACCTTCCATTCCAAGTAAAAAATTCGTTGCGTAGTTTAGGACCCTCTGTACCGAAAGCAACAATTCTTTTTGTATTGGACAGTGCATTTATCGAGGAAGGCTATGGGCTATATATTGTTGTAGAAGAGGAGCATCGATAAAAAATGTTGCAAAAACGGGTAAAAATATTCCATTTGTGAGATTCCGTTGCGTGCGCTGGGTGAACGGTTAAAGTTACACAAAAATCATGTATGACGGAATTATTTCCCTTTAAAAGTTCTGTAAAAAAGCCCACGACAGCCTATGTCTATATTTTAAGTTTGACTCAGTATAAACCTTTTTCTTCAAATTAACGCGGGTGAAACCGCAGGGGACCTCTAGTTGTGACATAACTGTAATAGTTAGACATATGGTATCGCGGACTTTTTGTAGATATTGGTATCCTCAAATTTTAGTACATCACTTTGCTCTATTGTCAATGACTTAGCAGCGTACGCGATATAAGGCTATTTTTGGTATTTTTTACACACGTTGGGTTACATTATCGAAGTATTCATACGGAACCCTAAGTTGTTTAAAAAGACACACAAACACTATAGCCTATATTAATCAGTGATAATGTAGCATTCAAATGGAATAAGAATTTTTAAAATCGGTCCAGTACTTTTTGAGCCAATTCGTTACAAATATTCTTACATACAAACCTTTCCTCTTTATAATATTAGTATAGATTTCGTTTATTTGTCTATTTTTTTCATGAAATAAAAAAGTAGAACTTCTTTTATATTTTATGAAATAAAATGCGATTAATATTATGGTTATTATTTAATTACCTAGAGGTGTCCACATCATAATTTTTACTCACTGCACCCTGAAAATGACAAAAAAATGAGTATTGTACAGGAACGAATGCTAAACTGCTACAACAGAATCTAACAAATTCTAACTTATATCTTCTACTATTTTATCACTAACCACAAAACTACAAGTTAGATGAACTAGAACAATACGAGTGATATACATGAAAATAAAGGACACATTACTTAATTAAGATATTTTATATGAAACTTCAAGAAAGTTTATGAAAAATATGTTTGATAATAGACGGCTTGGATTATGTGTTCTATCTCCGCCAATATAAGAAATGGCTGATCTATAGAAATCGCGTTTTAAAATTTTAACCAAATTCTATAAGGGCTATATCACAATAGATAGACCCGTGCAGTGTTCGGACTATGAGCGCACGCGAGGCGTGTACATGTCACACTTGTTCAACTTCATTGAGATTTCATGAAGTAGTCTAATCTCAATACTACAGTGCCGGTGTATCCGGAGGGGTTTATTGCCCAAGTTTAACTGTTTTCGCTATCACGTTCAAAACTCAGTAAATAAATCAGTGTGAGTATGGCATAATTTATCACTTTCCCAACTATGATATGAAAGGGATTAAATTTCTAAAACTGGTGACGGCTTATCCTTTGTTCAGTATAGCCTCACTAATAAGTTTATTTCTTAATATAAAACACTTTATCTATAATGCACTTAGAGAAGTTAACATATAAAGGAGACCGTTCAAAAGTGGTAGTCGGTTTCCAGCAATGATGAAACATTTTAATTTTTATTTATTCCGTACCAGACATAAGTAATATCATATTTTAGCCAGGGGCAGCTCATAACGTCAACTCAATCAGTCCAGACATGCATGATATTCGTGAAATCGTTACGAAATTATTACAGCTATGTATGATTGTTTCTTCTTGAAATAAAATACCCATAAAATTCCTAATAATATAATGAGAGATAAACAAAATAGTTGTCACTGCTTTAGTTACCTATTAAATAGAATATATTTGATGCTTTGGCAACAAACACTAGATGGTAAATAAACCTGCCATTTGCCAACCAATCCTTATGTAATTATATTTAATATAATAAATTCTAGTTTTGTATCAAACGATTTACAATTTATTAAGTGGACTACACGCCATAAAAATTTGGAGCCTGTCGGAGACTCACTTCCACATTCCATACAATTTTGAACCGTTTCCTCTTTAGGAGATTTTTAGGGGGTAATACACTCGAGAGCAATGAAACCGAGTCACTTAAAGAATCCTAAAAATCTCGCAAACTAAGATTGTAAGCTTAATGAAATAAATTGTATTTAATAGAGAATTTGAGGAGCTCGATGGCGCAGGTTAGCGCGTTCAGCTGCGATAGTTGAAGTTAAGCAACTTTCGCAGTGGTCGGTCATTGGATGGGTGACCAAAATCTTCTATTTCGAGTTCCTCCGTGCTTCGGAAGGCACGTTAAGCCGTTGGTCCCGGTTGCATCTGCAGCCGTTAGCACCCGCCAATCCGCACTGGGCCCGCGTGGTGGGTCATGGCCCAATCTCCCTATTCCATCCATAGGGAAGGCCTGTGCCCCACCAGTGACTCATTAATAGGCTGATGATGATGATGAATAGACAATTAAATACTTCTTAAATGAAGGTAATAAATGAGTCACCACATTTTATTTGCAAAAAAATACATAAAGAAAAACACTGGCTAAAACGCCTTAAAACAAAAATAGGATACATGACAATTTTGAGCAATATTACGATTTCTCTCGAGTGTAATAAAACAGGCTATTTCTTAATAGCATTATTCGCCCCTTAAAATATATATTTTGCCTTCTAAATTTCTAAGCCAGCCACAATCAACGACCGTCTGAATAATACTATCCTAGTTGCTAGTTATCTTTTATGTAAGCCACTGTAATTATAACTCCGCATGGTGGTTATTTTTATTTTTATAGCATCTTTTGTAACATGTATTCAAGCAGTAAAATTCTAAAATATTAATATATATGACACCAAAATAGTAATTCTATTAGCTTCTAATTTTATAACTGAGTACGATAAAAATATAACTCATCTTAAGTTAAGTGCCCCTTTTCCGAATTTCATGTTTCTAGATGAAATGAAATGAAAATGAAATGAAAAATGAAAAAAAATATATAGTGCAGATACACGTTTGAACTAGTGACTTATTTGGATAAAAACACAATATTTAACATTTTACTCGATAAAAAAAAATCAGAAGTGACGTCGATTTTGAAAGTATTTTTAAGTTGTGTGAGACTTGGGTCAACGCAATTTTTATGAAATTTAACATCTCATTTACTAAGCGGGTTTGACAGGGATATTATTGGATAGATTTACAATATAACATTTATTTTTTTCTATAAAAATCATATACGTGAAAAACGGCTCGCGCCCCCCTGCAACAGTGCCGCCAGTGTCTTGCCGGACGTCGTCTAGGGTGGACCTATGCTATTTTTTTGCTCGCGACCACATTGTCGTCGCCGCGCTCGTAGTAGTACCTACTTACCCATTTTTTAAACTGATATAGATACTTTGAGTTGGTTAGTTGCGATTTTATTAAAATGTCGAATAAAAAAAACAAAATTAAGAAAAAAAGGCTATCTGAAGTGAAGAAAATCTGAAAGTGTATTGCGTAAGTACCTACTTATTACCTATAAACTAGCGCAAAATCAACAGGTCATTTACAAAACAAAAATACATTAGATATCTACTTTAACAGGGACACAGACCAGCTAAATCAGTATGACAACTTTTATATTCATTTTCTAATGTTCCACTAAGTACTTTATTATGTTGATTCGTCACAATAATAATATAATTTACTACAGAAATTGTCCTTCTCTACAGAGACTTGTGAAATCAGTATGACTAGAATTTTAAATCCTTAATATCCGTAATAGGAACATTCACCTATATTTTAACTCAAGTTAATTTGTTTATATTTTTGGCTTTTTGAAATGTTATTATGAAATTTATTCCATTCCAGTGCTCGGAGACCTCGTACCGAAAAAGGAACTTTGATGTCCAAAAAAAGTACCGATGGGTACTCTAAAGAGGGGCAGTATGCGTAAGTATATCCCTACTTCCCTACTATCCCTACTAATATTATAAATGCGAAAGTAACTCTGTCTGACTGTTATGCTTTCACGCCTACACCGCTGGACCAATTTTGATGAAATTTGGTACATAGATAGATTAGACATTGGAAAAGGACAAAGGATACCTTTTATCCCACTGCTGGGTGTGGGCGTGGGGGTGATCGATATAAAAAGGTGTAAAGTAATGATTATTATAATCCCTAATATATTATAAATGCGAAAATAGCTCTGTCTGGCTGTTACGCTTTCACGACTAAACCGCTGTACCGATTTTGATGAAATTTGGTATGGAAATAGTGTAAACAATGAGGATGGACATAGGCTTCCATTTATCCCATTGTTGGACATGGGTGCGATATAACGTGTAGTCCACGCGGGCGAAGCTGCAGGCGGAAAGCTAGTTATATACAAATTACACAGTATACCTAGGGTGGAGCAGTTTTACCTGTCCACTCCAAGTTTACTGTAACCTCGCGTCGTGCTTCAGCTTTCTTTCTATCATGTGTCTTATGTATATATTATAGGATGGAACATGGCAGTGAATGATTTTTTGTTAAAGTTTATTTCAGTTATTTTAAACCGAATCCCTTTCATTACTTTAATGACTTTCCATTGTTGCAGGAAAACTAGAAATGACGAAGATCCCCTTATCGTTAAAGCTGTAAATCAAGAAGACAAGTTTCAAAGGACAACTGGAACAGACGAAGATGATTCCCTTATTGTTGAATCCGAAATTCAAGAAGACAAGCTCCAACCAGTGACAAGACGACGCATTATTGATATCAATTACTTATTTAGTCAATTACAAGAAAAAGCACATCACAACAACTTGTTTGACTGCAAAGCAGGAATTTTTCAGTTGATCAGTGAAAAAAGAGTTGGCTTAGTTTTAATTTTTAGTTACTACCTGTATACTTTGTACAGGCCTACAGTTTATATCTCAGATGGTGATCCGTCCCGTCCAGCAGTGGAATGAAGCAGTGCCTCATCTATTTGCCATAACCCAAATCCGTTCAGTCGTTTAGGAGTGCAAGTGTAACAAATATCCATCCAAAAATCCCAACATGCATATTTTCTGAATTAAATATTATTTTAACTATGTTGAGATGTATATAATTTACAAATGTAATGTAGTCCAAATTTGTATTGCAATTATAATAGGCTATTTATCATGCTTGTCTTTCATTATAATACTCATCAAATCATATCTAACAACATTCCTAGTATAGCCAATAAAGTTGATCTACTGATTTATTTATACTGTGGTGTGCTCGCCCGCCTCCAAAGGTCACCGGAGTTCAAATCGCGACGGCTCCTGCGCAACGCGGGCGCAAGCCGTCTTCGTGCGTAAAATGCCTAAACTTTCGGGAAAAGGGACCCTTAATTGATCATCAAATTTATTTACAATTTATCATCAAATTGTATACCAAAGCCACTATATGGTAAAAAATAGAATATTGTCCGTCCATTTAAGGGTGGAGGGAAGGGAGAGGATTACCCACTACCTTTCCCCCCGCTCAAAAGTATAGTATCCAAGATACTAATAATTAAAATTTTGAGGCTAGGATTATTCTAAAAGCCATTACGGTTTACGATGTTCAGGGATTGGGAGGGAGAGGAAAGGGGAGGAATCCCATCTCCTCTTCCCCAGCAAAACAAACACATATTTTTAAAGATAAAGAACCCTCACTCCATCTTACCAGGTGGTTTTTATATTTAATAATTTATTATGGACTTGAAGGTAATAGAGGAGAAGAGGGAGCAGGTAAATGAAAAGGATCTTTTTTCTAGCGCTTCACGCTCAGCTCGCGCATTATAGTCGCAACACTAACCCAACCCAGTCTTTTCTAATTAGAGTGAAGAGACAATGTTATAACTATTAAAAGATGAATAAAAATTTTAATTTAA